CAGGTGGGTAGACTGAGTGAGGCAGAAAGGCACTTAGGTGGCACTTTCGGAATCCCAGCTGAACGTACAGATAACGGTGATCGCCTATTACAACTATGCTCAGATAACCGCCTATTTTTAGCCAGCACAAATTTCAGACATAAAGAAAGGCACTGTCTGACCTGGCGTCCACCGAGCTCGACTCAGCGATGGACACAGATAGACCACATTGCTATTAGTCATCGCTGGAGAGGATCGGTGGAAGACTGCCGCTCCTTCTGGAGTACGTGTTTGGACAGCGATCATGCGTTGGTCCGAGCACGTATATGCCTGCGTCTCAATGGACGTAGAAAAAATTTGGCAACAAAACCACTACGAGTTCTGCTGGACAACGAAAACACCAAAGCCGTGTTCAGTGAGAAGTTGGCTAGGCAGTTATCGGAACAAAAGACTGTCACTCATCCAGAAGAAGCTTGGTGCCATCTTCAGTCTACTGTAAAAGCAGCACTGGAGACTGTAGCCGACTCCAAGATAATGGCTAAAAAGAGCCAGTGGATATCAGCAGCTTCTTCCAAACTAATGGATGCACGTGAATGCATCCCTGCAGGCTCTGAGTACAATGAAGAGCGAGCGCAACTTAAAAATAACTGACGAAAAGTCTGCGCAACGATCGTGAACAGTGGTGGGCAGCAAAGGCTAAAGAGATGGAAAAGGCAGCGGCGATCGGTAACAGTAGACAGTTATTTAGACTTATTAAGGAGACTGGGGGGAAATGGTCAACAACAGTTAGTGAGGTTATAGCGGAGAAGGACGGATCGGCGATTCACTCGCAGGGAAGGCGACTGGGACGATGGGCAGAACACTTTGAGGAACAGTTTAACTGGCCTCCAGCCACCATTGCGCTGCCCGCTATCCAGTCGGACCCTGAATGGGACATAGAGACAGGTCCCCCAACACTAGAAGAAGTTGAGAAAGCGGTAGGTAGCCTGAAACGGGGAAGGGCAGCAGGACCAGACGGACTACCTGCTGAGGTATACAAGAATGGTGGTAGAGTTCTCTTAGTCAGGCTAACGGAAGTGTTAGCCAGTATATGGGAATCAAATACGATCCCCTCCGACTGGTCTAAGTCACTCATCATCCCAGTCTTCAAGAAAGGCGAGAAGTCCTCTTGTGATAACCACAGAGGAATCAGCCTGACAAACATAGTGTCTAAGATCCTAAGTTCTATAATTCTCCGACGCCTGAGTGGAGCTCGGGAACAGCAAGCCCGAGAAAACCAGGCAGGCTTTAGACCTGGCCGTGGATGTATCGACCAAATATTCACACTGCGCCAGGTCCTGGAACATAGGCATGCTTACAGACGCCCGACAATAGCTGTATTTCTCGACCTGAAGGCGGCATTTGACTCCGTTGATCGAGAAGTCTTATGGCAGTGTCTGTCACTGAAAGGCGTGCCTAGTAAGTACATCACCTTATTGAAAGCTCTCTACTCGAACACTTGTGGGCATGTTAGAGCCTATGGTGAGTTGTCCAGGGAGCTATACTCATCAAGTGGTGTCCGTCAAGGATGCCCACTATCCCCATTCTTATTTAATTTTATCATAGATATTCTTATGGAGGTTTCCCTCTCGTCACCTAATTACAAAGACGTTGACCGATCACAGGTGAATTTTCCTTAGATCTAGAATATGCAGATGACATAGTCCTGTTAGGTGAAGACGCTGACAAGATGCAGAGTCTTCTGAACACTTTGAGTGGGAATTTGAGAATGTTTGGGATGCGATTTTCACCACCCAAATGCAAATTTTTGCTCCAGGACTGGTCTTCAGCGGTACCGCGGTTAACAATAGAGAGTGAAGTGGTTGAGTGTGTTGACCACTTCACTTACCTGGGAAGTAGGATCAACCCGGTGGGTTAGTTGCCGATGAGATTTCTGCACGGATACAAAAGGCTCGATTGGCTTTTGCCAATTTGCGCCACCTATGGCGCCGCCGTGATATTCGTTTGTCTATTAAGGGTCGCGTGTACTGCACAGCAGTCCGCTCTGTTCTACTGTATGGCTGTGAAACATGGCCATTGAAAGTGGAAGATACAGAAAGGCTTCAGGTGTTTGACCACCGTTGCCTTCGTAGTATAGGACGTATTCCGTGGTGTCACCATGTGAGTAATGCAGAAGTTAGGTGTAGAGTTTTGGGGAGAAGAGGTAAGTCAGTCGACGAGGTTGTGAACCTTCATCGACTGAGATGGTTGGGACACGTACTACGTATGCCTAGTCACCGATTGCCTCGTCACACAATGTTGGCTGAGGTGGGTTCAGGCTGGAAAAAGGCCCGAGGTGGCCAGACTAAAACATGGCACCAATGTATGAAGTCTCTGACTGTTGGTTTAAGCCATGTAGGACGATGCAGACTAGGTGGTTGGGGTCCACGGGACAAGAGGAACCAGTGGTTGGAGACCCTAGGTGATATGGCTCAGAACCGAAGTCAGTGGCGCAGATGTATACACACATTATCCTCATCTTAACAACGCTATACCGAATCTCACTATTTTGTCACTCCTCTTTCTTTTCTTTTGACTGCATTCACTTATCTTCATCCTTCACCTCACTACCTTTTTACTTGATGTGCTGATATGAGGTGTGGCAACTCATCCTTAATCAGGTTATTGAACGAACACATGACTACTTACCGGAGGCCGATGACTGCCCTGTTTCGTGACCTGAAGGTGGCATCCGACTTTGTCGACTGTGAGGTTGTGGCAGTAGTGCTTAACGGTATAGGGAGTATACCAAGCAAGTACGTAGTGCTGATCAGAGTTCTCTCCTTGAATTCATGTAATGAAGTTTTCATCTTAATTGACGACAACTAAAAGTGTCCACTAGGAATGTGTGCTGTCCTACTTAACTCCGTCATATACGTGTTGATGGTACTTGTGACTTCAAAGAGATCAATCTAGTCCCAAGAGGAGACCTCCTTGATTTACGATAAGCAGACAACACTTGTGAGACGTGAAGACGCGGACGCAGAATCGTCTGAACGCAGAAATCTGAGTATGCTTGGTGTCCATTTCGCACCTGTCAATTATGAGATAATACTTCAGGACTGATGTGCGACTACTCCCAGTCTAAGGACAGGGAGTGAATTGGTAGAATTTGTCGACCACTTTACATGTCCAAGGAGTTGCACCAGCCCAAACGAGCTGGTTGCTGACAAAATCTTAAAAACACAAAAGTCGTTTAGTATTTTTTAATTAGCGACATCTCTGGTTTGGGTGACATATTCGACCACCTAATAAAGAATGAGTATACTGCGCTGCAGTCTATTCTGTCCTCTTATGCGACTGTGAGATGGTCATTGAAAGCAGAAGCAATGAAGAGATAACAGATTTTCTAACACACATACCTTCGCAGCATTGCTCACGTATGACGGAATCACCGCGTGACCAATGTGGAGATTAGACAAAGAGTACTAGGCAATAGAGACCAGTCAGTCGATGAGGTTGTGAACCTTGATCGACTTTGAACATATGTCACGCATGTCTAGCCACTGTCTACCTCGACATGCAGTGTTGGTCGAAGTAAGAAAGAAGGTTCAGAGGGACTAAACTAAGGTGTGGCACCAGTTCATGAAGATTGACGTTTGGTAAGTCCTGCAGAGATGAGTAGGCTACACGGTTGGGATCCCCTAGACTATAAGAACGAATGACTGGAGATTCTGGGTGAAATGTTCTAATAGATCACGATGGCTTCAATGCATCCATTTTTCGGTGTCTTTTGAATCTTGAATGTTTTAACTAGATTTCATTTTCTAATTCATTTTATTGTCATTCTTCTTTGTCAACTCGGACATCAGATTTCTGTTATCTGATTGCTCGTTGCATAGTGGTGTGAAATTTGGTAACTCGAACTGACGCATTATTTAGGTATTTTCAAATCAAATCCCAACTTGATTTGGATATCTATCTGCACTTCTGCGCGAGGTCATAAGTTAATTTTGTTCATGTACATGTGCATATTCATGTCTATAACTACAATAAAGAAGCACGTTGTTCGAGAATATACATTCAAATTTTCAAGGGATTAATCACAATGAAGCCGCAATCGATGGAATAACCTTAAGCACAGCAGGGCCTCTCTAATTCTTCAGTTCGGAAAAAAGAACTCATATACCTAATAACCTGCCAGAGCTGTCATTTTATATACGATGTAACTGTTATTCTTAGAGAGAGTAGTGGAAAGTACATTACCAAAGAATTACTTTTGGCTAAGTTTTGAAACGCACTATCATACTAACAAAAGTCACGTACGATTTTTCGAAATTCTTATTCTACATTTGATAATGATAATAAAGCAACGCAAAATGAACTAAGGCCGCCCCTCACGCACATCAGTCCTGCAATTTATTTGCTCACAGTCAACTATGGCTATTTGACTCTATTGTAGTTAAGAAATCGCATTCAGTATCCTGTGTAAAGCAATGACTGGATATCAAGGAAACAACTCAAATCAAAGTACTGTACATGAAAGCTAGTCCCAGCAGTCCACGATAGGCTGGGCGAATTTTTAACGCATGTCGGCCAAATTGTAGGGAAACACTTGGAAATGGGGATAGGTGAATTTCGGAGAAAATGGAATAACTGTCACGTTACTTTGAATCTTCCCCAGAAAGTAAACATGACGTTTCCATTTAACTCGAGTGATTTAATTCTCACTGTTGGTACTACGAATTTACAACGCAACATAACTGCATTACGTGGTTAGCAAGTAAAAACAGCCACAAACGTCTTCGGATCACTAATATTGTTAACTCAAATGCAACTATATTCCCTAGTATTTCAAGAAAAAATACACAAAAGCAGTAAGAGAGTTACTTGGTTTCCAACATGTAACTTATTGCCAGCCAGCGATGCTAAACCTTGTCAAAATCTAACAACCCTACGGCTACCGCTATGATATAAATGCTAACAAAACAGCTACAATAAGACGTACCAACCAGAAAGTGCAGCCAAGTGTGGCGCCTTACCAACTGGTTTGAAAGCAAGATTTTTGGCAACACAATGAAACGCAATATATTCAAACAAAGTAACGTCCACCTATCCACATTTACAATCTGCAAAGCATGCCGCTTACGCAAAATAAATAAGAAAAAGTGGTATTACTACCACTTGCACCACACGCGTTTTCACTGAACTTCAAGTAAGCAATTCTCAGTCGCAAATCTGTTAAATACCTTCGCGAAAAAGAATAGCATTCAAAGTAAGTAACGGTAATAGTGAAGGTGTCATAATACCTGCTGACATACGGGCTGCTTTGTAGGACCTTTGATATATCGCATGGTCGACCGAAAGTCATGGGACTGGACCATTTGGGTGTCCTGGTAGTGACTTCAAGAAAGCCGCATAAAGCAAGGTGAAACAAGTACCTTCAGGTTCTTGTGTCCCGGAGCTACCAGATCCAGTTGGAAAATTTTTGGCCGTGTGAACAGATCAGGTCAAAGCTAAAGCGGGATAGGGGGAACACTATTAGTTCCGCAGGTGGCACCTAGTTCCTCGTCTGACATGGTAGAAACAAGCGCACAAAAGGGGATGAGACTGCTTTCTGAGACTTCATCGAGATCACTGAAGTAGATCTTGATCAGTAATCCTCGTCCATCTCTGACAGACTGCAATAAGTCAAAACTAAGGGAGACCCCCAAAACTAGCTATATTCCTAGAGCCACGTAGAACTCTGTGAAACGTCTGTAATCTCCCAAAGATTTGATGAAAGTAGGCACCCATGCAGACCTGATAGTCCCGGAAATGATATTGTTTAGGCATAAAGTCTTGGAAAAAGCTATTTCAAAAACATACCAGTTAAATAAAATATTCAAATCAGAGGCAGTAACTGACAAAAACAGATTTCGACTACTTAAAACCATGTTCAGGTCGATAGACGATAAAGATCTTTTTCCCCGGATTACTCATAAAATTTAGGGGGCTGCAGTGTTCATGCTTAGAATTTATTTCTTGCTGATGAGACCAAAAAGCAGGGGTCAGTGGAAAATCTGAGATCTGGAATAGCAGTAGGAGCGAGTGACCCAAAGTTAGTGCTTTTTCGTGGTGTGAGGCAGAAACATATGATGCGGAAGCACCTATGAATAGCAGGAAAAATCACTGACATAATTTTAACTCCTACTACAAAAATGAGCTTAGTCTTCACAATCAGTTAATCGAGGTGGATAACGTAGTGGAGAAGCAACGCCCTGACATCAACGCTAACTTAAAAACGCGAGTCTCTTCTCCGGCCGGGTAAGGTGAAGCACATTTGGAAGAACCCTTTCTTTTCAAATTGATATAAAACAATAGTTATTCCTAAAAATGCAAGCACACTCCATTTTTACGGGTGTGAATAAGTTTCTACAAAAGTTACATGCAGCTTTATGGCAGGTAATCTCAATCCTCACCTCTTGTCACATATGATGTTCACATGGTGGAATATTTCAGCAGAAGTGTGCAACAACTTATAAGTTGGGTGAGCGGAAGTATTATCTTCGCAATAACAAAAAAACCAGGTTAGTATCTCAACATCAAATATATTAGCTGCGGAAAAATAAGGCTTGTAGCCAATACTTCCATTGTAACTTTGTACGTTTTGCTGGGTATAATGACGAAAAGTTTGAGGGAATGTCTGCACAACCTGTGCTTCATTTATGCTTCCAGAAATGCATAATTCATATATGTTAATGCCATTTTGCATCAGAGATTAGTAATCTTGATGAACATTAGGACTGAGAGCCGAATATCTTCATTTTTCTGATTGTTGGACCTTCCTGGTCAGTTTCATAATGAATAAATCCCAGGTTTTGATAATTACGAAGTTTTAGCACAGTGAACACTCTTTGTTTCTGCCTGTGATAACAATATATTTCGAATAATGAATTATGCGAACAGACATTTTTAAAGGAAATGTCTGAATGTTATTTCCTTACTGAAGCTGTAAAAGTTAAGAAAGAAACAAACCAGCGTGCCATAGAAAGTCCTCCGGAGTAAACGATTGTTTAGATATTGAATGTCACAAATTTTGGATAGCAGTGACATCGCTGAACAACAGTAGTGAAAATAAAGAGGGTCCAATCACTCAGTATGAGAAGCAATAGCGAATCATGAAATCTATGAAAGTATATTGCATATTGAATGCTGAGAATCCGGAGGTATGTCTATATACAAGAAGTTCGTACTATCTACAGATGGCAGGCGAAACTGGGATGGACGGGGGGAAAATTTAGGTTTTGTAGGGCATAGTGTCATGTAGAGTGTAGCAATAGCTTAGGTCTGTGATGTTGTAAACAGAGTCATCTGAATAACCAAAGCCGGGGATGCAATTCTATTCAGCAGCTGTTTTCAGATTACGGTGGAGAATACAAGAGCTTTCGCCATCAAACCATTCAATAAGACTTCAAGGTCGGCGCGTCACATGATGTCACTTTTGGGTGGCTTCCTTTTCAGGTGAGCGGTTTTTCAGGACTGAAAGAACCTGTTTGTTTAAATGCAAGTGGCATTTTATACCAACATTTCTTGTTTCTCTCCCAGTTGGAGCTATGTATTGGGGAGAGGTTGCAGTCCGGGATGAATTGTGCAGCTCCCGGAGATTTCGCATCTCCAGGTGGTAAAAGATGATAGTTCCCAGCTGTTGAAAAGAAGTCCGAAGTGTACCTCGGTGCTCGGTGTGCTGGTATGATCCATCATCACAGTCTGCATATCGAGTGATAAAGAGAAACACAAAGGCATGAGAAGTGAAGTTTGGGGAGCGGTATTGAAGGCTAGAGTATCCAAAGAGGATACGAGGGGTGAGAGGCTATCCAGGTCTATATTCTGATTGTGGAATCCCCTTGAGGCTTTGTATAGAACATTTTTCGCGTCCTAGTTTAAGCCGCATTACAAATGCTCAAGATGGTGACTTTTTCGCACCTGCATACCAGTAAGAGCTTTGATATGCACTCGTAGGGTTAAAGAAAGATGGTTACTATAATCTTAAAGGAAGGGAGGTGAAGGCTATGTACTGGATCTAATGGCTTCGGATAAGGGTGGTTTTCATGAGTCCTCGCCATCAATTCTGCCATCTTGTGTTTACCTTTTCTGCACCATCTTAGCCCATTGCTACTTTACCTGTGTCGTATCCTGTCATTGCTTTCCCCCCTTGGCCTCCACTCTGTTTAATAACAGTGGTAATGCGGCTGTTGTTGTTTTTCTTAGGTATTGCAAACCCAGTAACACTGGCTACTCTCCATGGACGGTAGTTTCACCTAAGGTCTGTTCCTTAAATAAATAACTTTTAATGACAACCAAGACATTTCGAACTCGATTGCTTTTATATGGCAGGAATAAAACACAGACAAGGCAGCTGGCAGAGAAGGAAACAGGAATTCCAACAGGGAGACGGTTTCCTGTGTTCTTGTTTCTTCCTTACTAAATTCCCTTGCTATGGCGTTCATTGAATCGATGGGATTCACCCAAGAGCACTCAAAGAATGTGCTGAAGTTCTGTGTGCCCCACTAGCAAACCTCGTCAAATGCTCATTTCTAGAAGGCAGGTTACCCTCTGACTGGAAATGGGCGGCTGTCATCCCAGTTTATAAAGGTGGAAACACACTACTCACCTCCAACTACACACCGATTTCCCTGATCTCTTCAGTTGTAAAGGTCACGGAGACAGTTATAAATGACTCACTTCGTGATCACTTCAGAAATCAATCCTAAACAACTGTCAGCATGACTTGTTACCCAGAAGTTCATGTAACACCAACCTGTCGATAGCTTGGAATAGCTGGACACTCTCTGTCGAGAAGAAAAAAGCCTGTACATAATGGTCTACTTGACTTTTCTAAGGCCTTTGACGGGGTACATCATGATATGTAAGAAACTCCGGCTCATGGGTGTACACGGAAAACTGTTTATCTGGCTTAGAGATTATCTGCACTTTGGGGTGCAGTCAGAGTTGGCTCCTCTCTATCTAATTGGTTCCCGATTCTGAGTGGTGTGACTCAAGGTTCTATACTGGGTCCACTATTGTTTCTTGCTTTTATCAATGATCTACCAAGGGGTCCTTAATTTCAATCCACTATTAGATGCCGATGATCTGAAGATTTGGAGGAGGATACAGGAACCAACGGATATTTCGATCTTCCAGGAGGACCTTACGAAAATCCCTAACTGGACTACAGAAAACCTGCTTCCTCTCAACTCGAAGTGTCGAATTATGATAGTTGACAAACATAAAGGCAGTCCCGGTTCTTACTCTTTAGGTGAAATGAATATCTGTCACCCTAACATGGAACAAAATCCGGGAGTCACCCAAAGTGACTCACTGGGACCTCAGTCCACTGTCACCTTGCAGCCAACAAGGCCCATGGAGTCTTCAGATCTCCCTCGCGAACTTTAGGGGTCTAGCTCCTCCTCCTCCTCCACCACAGTGTATGCTCTGTACATTTGTCCTCATCCAGAAAAAAATTCGCTTTTGATGTCCCCATACTTAAAGAAAGACGTACCCATCGTAGAACGGGTACAGAGAAGAGCTAAAAAGAAGTGATTGGGTTACGGCGCAAACCGTACCAAGACCGCCTGGCTGCTCTTCAGCTGCACCCAGTACAATTCATGAGGATCAGAGGGGATATGATCCTGATGTACCACATCGCTCATAATCCTCTCCATCCTAAAAGATCCCTTCTAAGCTCTAGCCGGAAACGCGACCTGAGGGGTCACCCGTTAAGGACAGAGCATGAGGGAGCACGTACAAAGATCCGTGCTAACTCATTTGCGGCTGCGGTCCGCTGACTGTGGAATTCCCTCCCTTCGGCAGTTGTTACAGCTCCGTCCTCCGATACCTTCAAAAGGAGGATAGACGCACACCTTGAGTCCTACGGTACCGATGGGCGGTACTCTAGAGGCTTTTCGTCACCTGCGGATCAGGTGCAGTAACACTACCTTGATATCAGATTATATAATAAGCATTTATCTCTATTTATCAGGGTTTCTCGGAACCGTAAGATAACTGTGACCATTCCA